AAATAATCCCAGCAGAGAAATACTGCTCATCAATTGTCTTTGTGTGTAGACATAATGTATTTTATACTAGTAATTGGTGACGTTAAATTTCCATGTTTATTGAAAAGTGATTTTGTGGTGAACATTCACTTGCAACTTATTTTTAAACACTTTTAATTTGTAATGTTTGTTAAAAGTAAGGTATACACCCAACATGGGGCTTGAATTCACAACCCCAAGATCAAGAGTGGCATGCTCTACCAACTGAGCCAGCCAGCCACCCCAATCGCAACTTATTTTAGAAGACAATACTACAGGGCGTGTGGGTGGCTCAGTTGGTTGTGTCCGCCTTCGGCTCAGGTCATGATCACAGGTTCTTGGGATCGAGCCCCGCATCGGGTTCCCTGCTCGGGGGGAAGCCTGCTTCTCCCTCTCCCCCTCCCCCTGCTTGTGTTGATTCTCTTGCTTTGTCTCTCTCTGTCAAATAAATAAATAATATCTTTTAAGAAAAAGAAGGTAATACTACATTGCCAGTACTATTAAGAGTACTTTGTAGGAAGCACCTTGGTAACAAATAATACACACCATACTGTGTGCGTACTGACTGGTATGGTTTTGAGAAGGCCAGATTTGAAAGACGAGGAGGCTTTTCAAAGAGCAGGCTCTTCAAAGGACTTACCGTCTTAGTACTGCCAGTATTAGAAGCCCTCTGATGTTATATCCTCACCCCCATTTCACAGATAAGGAAACAGAAGCATGGACAAGTTGCAGCCCACACTTCAAGCCACACTGCTGCTGTGTGGTGAAATGAGCCAACTCCTCCTTCCTAACGTCACACTTTGCGTCTGACGCCGAAATATCTTTAATGCTGTCAAATTGCAAAAAAATTAAATACATTTATACAAACATTCTCATATTCTGGGTATCCCTTTCTTTACTAATTAATCTTTTATCAATATGAGAAACAGGTCATATAATTCAAAGGAAAATATTAAAAAATGTATTTTAGTTAGGCCTGCATAAAAGTGGCAATGTCAAAATAGAAAAAGATTGAAATTGCACAAAAGCAATGTATAAATTAAAAAAATTATTTGGAAAAAAAATTATTTGAAAGAGAGCAAGCGAGCACATGAGCAGGAGGAGCAGAGAGAAACAGAGAGAAACTTAAGCTGATTCCACACTGAGCGCAGAGCCCGACACAGGGCTTGATCTCAAGACCCTGAAATCACAACCTGAGCCAAAACCAAGGGTCAGATGCTTATCCAACTGCACCACCCAGGCACCCCTAAAAGTAATGTGTAAATTCTGAGTGTTTGGCATCAGTTAACAGTTAAAAGCAATGATAGTATATAAATACTAGGGGAGGGGCGTCTGGGTGGCTAAGTTGGTTAGGTGTCTGCCTTCGGCTCAGGTCATGATCCCAGGGTCCTGGGATCGAGTCCCACATCAGGCTCCCTGCTCTGCGGGAAGCCTGTTTCTCCCTCTCCCACTCCCTCTGCTTGTGTTCCCTCTCTTGCTGTGTCTCTTTCTGTCAAGTAAATAAACTTTAAAAAATAAAATAAAAAACTAAAATCCTCTGCTGATGTTATAAAGCAACTGGCATAAGAAGTCAACTAAAATAAAAGCATGGCTGATAGAAGAGACACAAAAAAATGCAAAATTGTTACTCAAAAAATTTTTTTACACAATTGCTATTTTAAAAAATGTTTTAAAATTATAAATACATGTTTAAAAAATTCAAATATACAGAATGAGCAGCTGCACAGTTGAATATGGAAGCCACTAGCTGCACGTCCATTGCTCCATTACCACCACAGGGCTAGGGGCTGGCACACCGTGAGTGCACACACAGCGCTTTTCCATCCGCACAGAAGGCCCGTCGGACAGTTCACTGGTTACTGCTCTACAATAACCATAATTAAGCACTAGTATATAAATGGCTGATTATTATAAAAGTTCTGTATACATTCTGGATACAAGTACCTTATTAGACATAATTTTCAAAAACTCTCCCATTCTGTGGGTTGTCTTTTCACTTTCTTGATGGTGTTCTTTAAAACATAAAAGTTCATTCTGAGCAAGTCCAATTTATTTTCTTTGTTGCTTGTGCATTTGGTGTTGTATATAAGAAACCATTGCTTGGTCCAAGGTCACAAAGACTTGCTTGTATGTTCTCTTGTCAGTTTTACAGCTGTAGCTCTTACATTTAGGTAGGTGATCCATCTTGGGCTGAAATCTGTGAGGAGGGGAATCCTTTAGCATGTGGCTTTACAGTTTTCCTAGGACTATTTGTTGAAAAGATTACTCTTATTGAATGCTTTGGCACTCTTGTCAAATATCAATTGATCATAAACATTAAAGGCTTATTTCTGGATTCTCGGTTATATTTTATATTCCCTTAATCCATGTTTCTTTATGCTAGTATCACACTGTCTTGGTTACTGTAGCTTTGTAGTTAAGTTTTGCAATTGGTTAAGTGTGAGTCTTCCAACTTTGTTCTTTTTCAAGATTATTTTGGCTTTTGTATTTTCCATGTGAATTTTATCAGTTTGTATTTCTGTATGAATTTTATCAGTTGGTCAATTTTTGCAAACAAGCCAGCTGGGATTTTGACAGGAACTGCAGTAACCCTGTGGAGCAATTTGGGGAGCATTTTAACAATGTAAAGTCTTCCAATCCATGAACAAAAATGTATTTGTTTGTTTAGGTCTTGATTTCTTTCAACAATGTTGCATAGTTTTTATTCATTTTGATGCTATTGTAAATAGAATTTTTAAAAATCTCAATTTCAGAACATTCACTGCTGACAGAAATAAAACTGATCTTTGTATACTGATCTTGTATTTATCCTGTAGCCTGGTGAACTCATTTAGTTTTTAAATGAATTTCTTAGAATTTTCTATCTACTAAGATTATGCCATCTGTGAATACATAGTTTTACTTCTTTTCCAGGATGGTTGACTTTTCTTTCTTTTCCTTGCCTAATTGCCCTGGCTAGAAACTCAAGTACAATGTTGAATAAAAGGGGTGAGAGTGAACATCCTTGTCCTGTTCTTGATTTTGGGGACAAGGACATTCAGCATTCAGTCTGTTGCCAATAATGATGTTGGGTGTGGACTTTTTGTAGATGCTCTTTATTATATTGAGAAATTTCCATTTTATTCCTAGTTTGTTAAGTATTTTTATCATGAAAGGGTGCCGAATTTTATCAAATGTTCTTTCTGCAACTGTTAAGACAATTAAGTCAATGTAGTAATTTTGTCCTTTATGAACATGGGACAATTGATTCTCATTATTAATGAGTCTGTATTTATGAATTTACCAATTTATTTGTAAAATTTGTTTGTAATCCCCAAATCAAAACTGTCACCATGGGGGTGCCTGGGTGGGTCAGTTGTTAAGTGCCTTACTTTGGCTCAGGTCATGATCCCAGGGTCCTGGGATGGAGCCCTGCATTGGGCTCCCTGCTCCGCAGAAAGCCTGCTTCTCCCTCTCCCACTCCCCCTGCTTGTGTTCCCTCTCTCGCTGTCAAATAAATAAAATCTTAAAAAAAAAAACCCAAAAACTGTCACTTTTATGATCATTCATAGATATGTGCAGGCCCATAAAAATTTTGAGTTTCCCCATATGCATCTTCCCAGTGGGGGTGAACAAGACAATGCTTTTGCCCTTCCTGTTTCAGACCCCACCCCCCAGACATGACCAGAAGATGGGGGGTGGGCAGAGGCAGGGCTGTGTAAGCTTTGGCTCTTGGACCAGTTGGACGGGTATGAATCGCAACTCTGGCAGTAATTAGTGGGGTGGCGTGGCCTCAGGAAGGTCACTTAATGTTTCTGAACCTCATTTTCTCTTTTGTAAAATAAAACAGTATACCAGGATAAATTTTCAGGATTTAAGATTATAATCTATTTGAGATATGAATACACACACATTTCCCCTAGGAGCAATGGCTCTGCATTCACTAGTTCAGTATTCATAGTGACTTCCTAGACTATAACTACTGTGAATAATGAGAATCGTTTGCATAGGACATTGATTTTTGGATGTTAAACAAACCTTGCATTCCTGGGACAAATCTTACTTGGTCATGGTATATAATCCTTTTTATATGTTGCTAGACTCAGTTTGCTAGCATTTTGTTGATGACTTTTGAGTCTCTTCATAACAAATACTGATCTTTTGTTTTCTTGTGATGTCTTCACCTGGTTTTGTATCAGGGTAATACTGGCTTCATAAAATGAGTTGGGAAGTGTTCTCTCTCCTTCCATTTTTGAGGAGAGTTTGCAAAGGACTGGTGCTAATTCTTTAAATGTTTGGTAGAATAGAGCAGTGAAGCCATTCGGGCCTGGTATTTCCTTTGCAGAATGTTTTAAAATTACTAATTCAATATTTTTGTTATTGGCAGTTGCCTTTTCAACTTGCTTTAGGTAGGACAAAAGGTGGTAAGATTATCTCTTAAGGCCAGTAAAATTCATTAAGAAAATGTTATCAAGGAAGACATATCCAGTGTTTGTAAGATTCAATAACCAGCTGCCAAGATCATCCAGTAGCAGAGTTATCCTGCTGTCTTGCACTAACAGAGACAAATATTTCATCACCTCTCCATGTGCCTTCATGACCTTAGGAACCGGAAACTTCAGCCTGTTCTACATAAGATTTATATACAAACATCTTAACTGACACTCACAGTAAAGTCCTATAATCACAAATTAAAGTTTGTACATTTCTAGATTATATACAGACATGCATATTTACATATTATCTTTAAATCTATCTACAAACATAATAACTATCTCAGAACCTGTCGGGAAGGCAGTGTGTAGTGGAATAAACACTGGAACAGAAATCTGAAGGTCTCAGTTCTGGGGCCAGCTCTAACGTAAACAAGATGCCTCAATCTGTTTCTCCCACTGATGAAACTAGGTTAAGCCTGATGATCACCAAGGTTTTTTTTTCCTGATTCTAAAAATACAAGTGACTTACTCTACAATGCCATTCCCACTGTACTTACTTCAGGGTGCTCAAAATGAAAATATTTTTGCTATAAACATATACACATCCATCCTTCATTCTTACAGAACAAATCAACCAATTCACCAACTCTTAAAAGAGAACAAAGAGGAGGTCCGTGGGTAATATAATTCCAACACCTCAAGGTCCTGGGTTTGCCAGGAAATACCATTACTAAACTTCTCTCTGTACAAATACGTATTTGCTTTGTCATAATGCCTCTCTTCATGTCAGTGCTGTTGCATACGAGGCTTCTAGTAATTACAATAACTTCCAAAAACAAGGTCACTTTTCAGAGATCCGGAGCCCCTCAGAGAGACTGAATGGCATGTCATCAGTTGTCTCCACCGGCACGTTGCTCCTACCAAACTGGCATGGATAATGGTGGGTGTGGTGACTTGAAATAAATGCATCTGCCATCCGGCTGCAGTGACAGCCATCTGATGGCAAGACGTTACTGGAGTTACCAAGGTGCGAATGGTAAACACCGTGGAATGAGTCTTGAGTTGAGTGGTAATGGCCAGCTCCCGCTGAGGTGGATGCTGAGCTCTGGTAAGGGCCATTACACATAATACAAGTTTGGAAGCAAGTCTTCCTGCCCAAACCTCGGTGAATGTCCAGTTTGGCAATGAGGGGTTTCCCAACATTCACCTCCTGCTTCTCCTCTACGGTATCTTCCAATCCTGAGTACTGATATGACAGGCAGACTGTGAAGATCAGATGTTCCTGAAAAGGAAAAGAATTATTTTTATCAACCGTGAAAGCGTATCAATCTTAGAGTAATACTGACAAATACAAATACACACGTGATCACACAATACCACACACTCTCACTCCCCTTTCCCAGGTTCCAAATCCTCAAGGCTCGTTTACACCTTCCCCATGCGAAGAAAGGCCAGCTATAATCACCTTCCCTTTCCCTCATCCAGTACTTAAAGTTCCTGCTACTGACAGTAGCCAGAATCACAGAGATCTTGTACTGTATTCCAGATGAACAGTTTAAAGGCATTTTCCAAGTAGTAGGGTTTGGGAAAATTACCCTTCCCTCTTAGTGGAGATGGAGAATGATCCTTTAATGAAAAAAACCTGGCTTTACACCTAGGCCAAAAGTTTAGCTGTTTTAAAAAACATGAAATAATAATCCACAGTCCTAGGTGGAGAAGTATAACTGAATCACATCACAGGGTTATTTCAAAGACAAAGGAGACTGTAGCTAAGATTAGCTATAAACAGGGTGACAATAGTCTGTTTTTTGTTCCTTAACTAGGAAATGCTTATTTGAAGGTATGAAGGTATTTAAAAGCAGACTATGCTCCTTATCTCTAACTTTTCAACAATATGGAGAGTAATCACATGTACTCTCACACAAAAATCCTCAGGCCATTACCAGGGACAGAAGAGACTATGACAAGGGTCACTGATAAGACTGTGTATCACTTATCTCTACTTCAATTTAATACCCAAAGAAGCAGTTCATCTAAAAACTAATACAACTGTCACATGCCAAAATGCATTTTCACTTTCATAAAGTCAGTAGTTAATAAACAGGAAAAGTATTAACCTTTAATTTTTGCAGCGAACTGAGCCTAGTGTAGAGGCAATGCTTGGGAAGATCCTTAGATACTAAATAGCTGCCAGTTTCTTCAGGCGTCCCTTTATTTGCATCTTTTGGATCAATATCTAAGTCCTGTGAAAATCAGTGGTTGTTATTAATGAAACCAATTAAAGTCACAACATTGTCTATGACAGTAAAATATCTTAACAGGTATTGTCCTCTTATGAATTTTGGCCTCAATAGGTAAGCCCTTAGGACTAAAGAAATAATAAAAACATTTTAGAGTGTAACAGGAATTCCAAATTCTGCACAGATACACTTAAAAAGTTAGCTCTGCAAGGTTCCTTACTTTCAAACTACCCCCACAAACACTTCTTAATCCTCTCAAGCTTCCTTTTAAGTTCCAGCCCCGTTAGACTGTGACCCCTGGATTCTCTCCCTGCTCACTCATTACTTTTGGGAAGGTGCAGGCAGATTTATATGATTCATATATTTAAAAAGAATAAATGGACATGTACAGGCAGTCCTTCCCTTTTCCTTCTCTAAGAGCCAACCCCTGGGTAAGAGCGGGAGATGTGTTCTGGAAAGTCTGAGAGAAGGCCTCAGGCTCTGCCCTGCCCAAAGCCCAGGAGGCCCCTCTGAGTCCAGTGCTGTTACGGCTGGTAGACAGACCTGTCTAATTCTGGGGTTCAGTGCTGGACCATCTGCTCTCATACTAAACAATGTCCTCCATGAAGTCTTTATCAGTAGCAAAGGTGATGCTCTGGATTTGTCTCACTCCTTGCTTACTTCTCAATTTACTACACTCAATGTAGGAAAGAGGGGTATATTTATTGGCTTCTTTAGGCCAACATGAAATAAATATCATATCTTAATTTACGGAAAAACAGAACTAAATTTCTATGCTTCCAATATACTACCATGTTAACTGCTTCATATTCTATATCCTACTTAGGGTAAAGGAAATTAAAGGCTTCTTTCCTGGGTGAACTTTAGACATTCCTAAATTTGATAAATTTAAGGTATTTTAGGGATTAGTTTTTAAATATTTTGACCATTGTTACTAAAATACAAATATTTATATAAATGGAAGATACAGGTATTCATATTTCCTTTAAATTTACCATCAACTTTAAGTTTCCAAATGTTTAGTGTTTAGTAAGTGAGGCTACATTGTGCTATTTTGGATAAAAGAAGAAAGGGGCTTCTTACAAGAGGAAAATCGGTGACGTAGGCGTCGCACGTCAGCACATCGGGCGGCTTGTGGACTATGCTCGTGTAGATTACCATGACGTTGGAGAACTCGGCAGCAAACCCCAGCTGAATCTGAACACCGCACTGGAATTTAAGACACATACTTTCTGGGAGTTCTGAAAAAGAACAAAAAGAACAACTTACAAATAATCCCTTGAGGAGCACTTTGGTAAGTTTTCTGTTAAGCAACAGACAATTGTTCTTTATGGGGCAAAATAACAGTGAGAGATTTTGCTTTCGCTTAAAAATGTTCTATAACTAACACATTGTTCAAAGGCGCGCGCACGCACACACACACACACACGCACGCATGCACTTAAAGAAAAGTCCCATATTCTGCTGGTCAAGCAAATAAAAATCTTTCATTTACTATTTCCTTCCAGTTCTCGTCCCTCTGCATATGTAATTTTTACAGTGGTAATCAAAAGTACCCATACAATTGTAGATAAATTTTCACTGTTGCCTCAATCTTCATGAAAATAGTTTTTAATAAAGCGTAATGTCACTGAGTATTTGTTACTCTGAACAATTCCACTACTCTTGAATATCTATATTATTTCTGGGTTTTATTATTTTTCTATTATAGTCAGTATTTCTTATACATATGTACTTAATGCTTAAAGATTATTAGATATAGCTGCTCGATGGTGCCTCACACATGTGACATTCTCCATTTACATAGAATATAGATTTCACCATAACATTTCCAAAATGAAGTAATATTAATTTTCAAAGTGTTTACCTAGTTGATGGGATTAAAAAGGAAAAACTACACTATCATAATTTTAATTTTATTTTCTCTAATTACTACTTAAGCTTACCATTTTCTATATTTATTTCTTAAATTAATATATTCTCAATTGTGTAGGCTGAATTTGCATCCTTTGATGATTAACTGAGGGAATTTTTTTGTTTTTTTTTTAAGATTTTATTTATTTATTTGACAGAGAGAGACAGTGAGAGAGGGAACACAGGCAGGGGGAGTGGGAGAGGGAGAAGCAAGCTTCCCGCTGAGCAAGGAGCCCGATGTGGGACTGGATCATTACCTGAGCCGAAGGCAGACACTTAACCATCTGAACCACCCAGGTACCCCTAACTGAGGGAGTCGTAATGTTTTTCCTTTTACCATTTTGCATGAGCTCTTTAATATAAAAAATACCAAATCTGTTACCAAAAAAAGTGCTCTCTTTCCAAACTATTCCACATCTCTAGAGCCTGTTTGCCTTTGGTAAGGTGACATTTACCCATATCTAAAAGATAAGAAATAAGTATTATTTTAAGACCACAATGTTTTCATTATGTTTTAAATATTTAGGCCACAAACTCTTCTGCAAATGAGGTTATGTTCTGAGTATCACTCATTCACTCACTCACTCAACAACTTTTTACTGAACACCTACTATGTGCCAGGCATGGTTCAAAGTAATGAGCAAACAGAAAAATATTGGACCAGCCCACGTCTAAAGTTTTTTTTTTTAATTTGAAGATCTAATTGGCTTTATTAGGCAATTCATGAATTGGGCAGCATCTCATCCACCAAGTAAAGAGATGTTCCCTTAGTTTCATTTCATAAAAGGTTTTTTTTACTATTGATCTTTACCACCATGATTTTGTTACACTTGTTGTTTAGAGATTTTTTAAAGGAAAAGAATCAATTTCAATTATTTATCCAATTATCTGGAAAGCCAAGACAATATATTTATGGCATTTTATATTTTAATGTGCTTTAACATATTTAACCAAAAATATATCTTAGAGAACAGACTATTATGAAAAGAAAGATACTATATAGAAGTTCACCAAATACAATTTTCAATTATCTACAATAAGGGATTTACCATACAGATATCTGGGACTCACAGAAAATCCAAAATCTTCATTTCAGTCAATAATTTAAACTTACCTTTTCACTAAATCACACAGAATTACCAAAGGTAATTAAGTTATAGATATGATTTCCACCTCACCTTCTCTTTTCTTGCTCACCGACTCACTTATTCAAGAGTTGAAAAGAGAGAATACTCAGTAATACTGATGAGCATATAGTATTTACTGACCAGCATGCTTGTCTCTTTACATGTGTGATCGCATTCAATACCAGCAACCCTCCCAAGTATTATTTCTTGTCCACATTTATATGTAACATGTTTATCAAGTGGCAGAGACAGGATCAGAACCCAGGCCTGTCTGATTTTTCAAATAGCATACTTCCAACAGCTCACAATATAATAAAATCTAAGGCAATGTATATTAGATAAGTTGTTTAGTTTTGGGTTTCCCCACCAGGCTAAAATGTTTTCACTACAAAATTGAGAGGAAAACTATTTATCCAGAAGGAAAAAACTTCCTTCGTGATTTAATACAGCATGTTATAGAAAAACCTCATTAAGAACCAGGCTTCACCGTACCATGTGCTTTGGCCCACTGCAGATTCCGTACCAGAGACTCCGCAGAATACGCTGTTCCCTGAATTGGGTCAGTAAGCGCTCTCTTTTCAGACAAGCTACTCCGAATCTCTAGAGCCTGTTTGCCTTTGGTAAGGTGACATTTACCCATATCTAAAAAATAAGAAGTAAGTATTAAGACCACAATCTTTTCATGTTTTAAATACTTAGGTCAAGAACTCTCCTGCAAATCCAGTTATGTTCTCAGTATCACTCACTCACTCAACAACTATTTTACTAACACGTTCTATCATGTGCCAGGCAAGGTTCAAAGTAATGAACAAACAGAGAAAAATATTGGGCCAGGCCACTTCTAAAGACCCCCCTTTTAGCTTTTATCTTCTATAATTCTATTATCATATCCCTAATATTCTAAGCCTTAAAATTCACAAAGAACTGAAAGTATACTTTTTTTTTTTAAGATTTTCATTTATTTGAGAAAGAGAACAAGCGGGGGTGGGGAAGGGAGAGAGAGAGAGAAGCAGGAAGCCCGACATGGGGCTCGATCCCAGGACCCTGAGATCATGACCTGAGCCAAAGGCACTTAATCAACTGAGCCACCCCAGGCACCCCTGAAAGTATATTTCTTTACTGAAAGGGTAGCCATGATAATTTTATTTCTACACTCTGTTGAGAAATACATGTATCTAGTAAACAAATGACTACTTATCTATGAAAAAGGTAAGATTTCATGCCATCTTTACCTCAGATATTTTTATTTTAAGAAAGGAAATAATGTGTTATAACCACTGATATGGCTAAAGCACCACCACTCCTCTCCCCCGACTCAAGATAACCACTATCCAATGTAGTATACATATTCCCATGCATATTTTAATTTTCACTCAGGCACAGGCACTGGCAAGTAGTGTATGCTAATGTTTTAGGTTTTTTTTTTTTAAGATTTTGTTTATTTGAGAGAGAGACAGAGCGATAGAGAGCATGGGCTGGGGAGGAGAGGGAGAAGCAGGCTCCCCGCCGAGCAGGGAGCCTGATGCGGGGTTTGATTGCAGGACCCTGGAAACATGACCTGAGCTGAAGGCAGATGCTTAACTAACTGAGCCCCCTCCCAGGCGCCCCCTCCCAGGAGCCCCCTAATGTTTTAGGTTTTGAACTTAACAAAAATGTTACGCTACATGTATGCTCTGTAATGTGTTTTCATTCAACATGTTTTAGGCAAAGACTTGTGACTATTGATAAATGTCAATTTAAATTTACAAAGCCATATATATCATATTCTTTAATATGAACAAATTACAGTTTCTCTTACTTCTGTATATATTATTAATTATTAATAAAGTTATAAAGTAATAATATCTGGTCTTTGGTATGTAGTTACTAATATCTGGAAAAAAAAGAGGTAAAACTAAGATTCTTAAATAGAAGAATCTATTCTTAAATAGAAGCCAAATATAAAAACCAGATAAAAGCAGAACTTTTCCGGTTGAAGCAGGATGGCGGGCGGAGGTCAAAGCTCTGGCTGTCTATGTTAAATGGGAAAGTGGTTAAGTCAGGTGATCCAGCTAAAAGATCTACACTGATAAAAACATGAAAATAAACAGAGTGACTCACAGCTCTTAGTGAAACACTCGCATACCTCATACTCCACCTGCCATCTTTGGAACACCCATGAAACTCCATTTCTCATGGGCTGGTTTGCAAAAGGATTGTCTTTTGGCATGGCTTTTAAAATGGCATTTCAAAAGATACCTGGCAGTCTATCGGGATAATAGGATATGTACTTGTTTGGCACCTGACAGGAGCATAACATCATCCCGAGAAGGAAAGAGAACAGAAGGAAATGGAAGACATGATGTTAGCCCTCTAGGGTCATATCCTGAAAGCAGAATTTAAAAACCATTAAGTCCATCAAGAAACAAATGAACCCAGCCTTTTCCGCCCGAGTCTCAAAATTTCTGCAAAGTTGGATCTGTCTGATCCTGGTAGAGGCTGCTCTCTGGACAAGGTTTTCTGCAAACAAGCTGACAGGGCTGCACCAGGCACGAGGCACAGAACTGAGGATGAAGCTTTACTGATTTCAGCCTTGCCCGGGACCAGCCTTGCAGCTCGAGTCATGCTGTACCGATGGCACAAAGCTCAGTCACCAGGGAGACAAGGAGGAAGGAATGAAACAGGAGTGCTGTGGAACGTTCTAGAAAAAACTGTTTTATAAAAATAAGTACTAACTCCAAACCTGCACAATAACAGTAAGAATAAAATAATTACCAGAGAACCCTGAGTAACTTTCTTTTTATATTACCTTCTGCAACTTCATCCAGTAACACAGTAATTTTCTTGTCTTCTAATAATCTATCTTTTAAAAATTTCATGAAAATTCCATTTGCCAACCCAGAATGCTGGATTTCAAAAGCTTCTGCTCCTTGACACCTTAAACACAGCAAAAAGACAGAAATTTTTAAAAAAGTAAACACTTGCCACATGGAGCTTGTGTAAATACTGATGAGCCTCATCTGCTTCTCTGCCTCTTGCATGACACCCTCATTACAGAGCTGATCTTTAAGCAGGAACTAAATGCTCTGGGGCTTAGTAAAAAGAAGATGCCAAGACATGAGGAGCTAAAGTCAATTATTTAACTCATTTATCCTTTCAAGAATATCAAGGATGAAAATTTATGCCTACATTTCTATGGATATATCTAGGCTTCCAATCTATAATCAAAAAGAAGTCATCGAAAAATGAAGGTATCTCGAACAGGAATGTAAAACTTCCTTACGTGGCGTATCCAAACACAATATTGGCGGTGACTTTTAGCGCATCCAAGATTGGGATGGTGTCATCATAGTCATTTCTATTTGAAAGGGAGGAGGAAGGACAGATACAAATGTGAAAAAAGTTAAACAGCATTTTAAAGAGAGCTTAAATAATAATACAGTGGAAAATCTGATAACACCTTTCTATTATACATAATTTAAGATTATAGATTCAAAATTCCTTTATCAAATCAGGTACATATTTGCTCCAAATAATCTAGGGTTCCTCTGTTGTTGAGCCAGCAGTCACACCATCTTTTCTCTGGTTAGCTTTAAAACTGGAGTTACATCTGAACTCTAGCACTGGTTTCTGATCGGTAAATGCTGAGCAAGCACAAAACTGTATTTCTGAGAGGAATAATCACTGGTTCTGTTTCTTAGTAACCCAGTGACAAACAGCTGGGATCCAAACCTTCAAACACCTGGTCTGGCTACAGTTTCTGTATCTGTGAGACCAGGACTTACAGAGGCCCCACCTCTATGGGTGCTGTTTCTGTCAATTCCTGGAGAAATAACCGCAGTGATGACTAGAGACATCTATAGGCATTCTGAAGAGTTGAACCTTCTGGAGTATGAATAAATACCCATACCCTTTAGTTCCTCACTTTTGTTCTATAACAAATAGGAAAAGGGTTAAAGTAATTAACTACATATAGAGAAAATCTATTTCCTTCTAGTTTCCTTGTTGGTCAGTTTCAATCTCACAATTTTACAAACTCACAAGCTTAAGTGCTTCTTAGCATTCCTAGGTTTGCCTTAGATTTCACTGTCAAGGCTGATATTTACCTAACTCCGATGAGCTTTGTTTAACAAAGATGAGGCAGTTTACCTTTTCCTACACATGTCCAACAAGAACACATTAAGTCCAGTTTCTTTTTCTTGCATCAATTTCAGTATATTTTGTACACATAGACAGTTTTCAGACCTATATGGATTTGGAGCATCAACAGGGACCATAAAGCTGTTGCCAAAGTTTTCATAACCATGCCCTGCATAATATAATAAACCTGGAAAGGAAAAAAAAGGAGGTAAAAATTAATTCTAAATTGTACTCTGAACACGTGTGTAGCACTCTTTAGAAAAAAAACCAGACTTTGTTTTCTTCAAGTTAATGCAAGCTTATTTAAGATACCCAATTATAAAAACAATGTTAACTAAATTTGAAGACAACAGTCTTCAAATACTGTATTTTTTTTTAAGATTTTATTTATTTGACAAAGTGAGAGAGGGAACACAAGCAGGGGGAGTGGGAGAGGGAGAAGCAGGATCCCCGCCGAGCAGGGAGCCCGACACGGGGCTCGATCCCAGGACCCTGGGTCCATGACCTGAGCCGAAGGCAGACGCTTAACGACTGAGCCACCCAGGCGCCCCTAAATGTAGCTTTTTCTAAGCAGAGAAGAGAAATCTAATTTCATGGATTATTTTTTCTTTTTGTTATGAGATATAAATATCATTAATTTTCCATCTAGAGTCTCTTGAATTAATAATCTAAAATTTGGGTTTCTTTTAGTATTCCATAAATGAGTCATTATTTCTTTACTGAGAGATGATACTATAAAAACTGCACCAAACAACTCTGAAGATTTTCTTGAAGTTTGTTTTGGCTGTATAAAAACTCCCCCAGAATATCAGTATGGGCTTCCTTATAAAAATATTTGATAGAAATACTTGTGAAGACATATTCCCCTGCGCATGCAATCTCTAGGGCCACTGACACTGCTTTCTCAGAATTCTGGATATGATGACTTCTTTCTATGGTATTCTAATTGACAGAAAAAAGGCGTTTAGACAGGGAACAACAGAAAAGCTAATCCTTTGTATCCATAGTCCCTATTCCTAGCAAAGAATGGGGCTCTGAACACTAAAACAACATGCTTCATTTGGTCCTAGAGGGCGGGACCCCAGTCTACTTTTCTTGGAACTCCTACTAAAATGAGAAACATGGTTCTTTCATATGTAACATTTCAGGTAAAAAATGACAAAATGGACGCATTCATTTATTCAGTGTGGGTTTATTTTATCTCATCTGTGCCCTGAATGAAATCATGTAGGCATTGAAAGAAATGAAAAAGAAAAGGAAGACAAAGTTCCTGCCCCGAGGAGCTTGCAACTCATTCAGTCCTGCTCATGTTGTTAAAGAACAAAGAAAGTCAGCACATAATGAAATACCATAAATTATGTGATTAAGGAAACCCAGTCTGATAGGAATAGGGTGCAGAGAGGAATCAGTGTGAGGTGAAGCAGCAGTGGGTGGCCTTGAGAGCCTGGGTGCAATCTAGAAAGGCAGAGAGAGTGAGGTTCATGAGAGGCAGGGAGAGCAGAAACAAACAAGGTGACGACCAAGAATGGCAGCTCACAGAAAGGAGACCAGCCGGGCAAGGATCCAATTATCACTGTAAATGGAAGTGAGAGTGCACCGATAGGGAGCATTCTGAAAATCATGACACAGCGAGTAGATGTAATACACTAAGCAATGAAGATCAAGTAACTGAAAAGAAAACCTGAAGAATGAGGGAAAATATTTGCAAAGCATGAATCTAAAAGGATAACCCGTGTCTAGAATACATAAAAAACTCTGCAATTTGACCATAAAAAGACAAATACCCACGTAAAAAATGGGCAAAGGACCTGAATAAACATTTCTCCAAAGAGGATATACAAATGCAAATAAGTACATGAAAAGCAAAGACACCACTTCGCACTTACTAGGGCGGCTATAATAAAAACACAGGCAGTGACAAGTGTTGGCAAGGATGTAGAGAAAGTGGAAACCTCATTTACTTCCGGTGGGAAAAGAGAATACTTCTGGTGGGACTATACAATATACAACAAAGTGCACGCACCTTGCAAAGAGTTGAGGCAGCTCCTCAAAAGGTTAAACTCAAAATTATCATATGACCCAGCAACAGCAAACGCAATCCAATCCAAGGTACATACACACAAGAGAACTGAAAATGTGTGTCCACACAAGAATGTGTACACGAATGTTCATAGCAATGTTATTTATAACATCCACACAGTTTAAGCAACCTAAATGTCCATCTGATGAGTGGAAATGTGGTAGGCCCATACAGCAGATGATTGATTATCCAGCCATAAAAATAATGCAACAACATGAATGAATCTTGAAAACACTATGCTAAGTGAAAAAAGCCAGACACAAAAGGACACGTATGGAATGATTCCATTCTATGAAATGTCTCGAAAAGGCGAATCCATAAAGCTACAAAGTGGATGTGTTGTTGCCAGGGCTTTGGGATAAGGAGGAATGAAGAGTGACTGCTTATGGACATGGGGCTTCTTTTTGAGGTGATGAAATGTTCTGGAATTGGGTGACTCATGCACAACTCTGTGAATATACTGAAAGCTGCTGAATTGTACGCTTCAAAAGCGTAAAATGTATACTTCTTTGTCAAGTACAGGTACTCCTTGCTTTTTAAGTTTGCATCAGACCACTTGGCTTTCACGGAAGACCTACATTAGTATCTACTTTTGCTAATCAAAAGAAACCTGAAGAGGATTTTTGCTTTGACAAAAAAAGGCAAAAGCAAAAACAGCACTGAGCGTGTGTTTGCAGCGAGCACGAGCCCCGTAGGGGCAGCGTGAGCAGCACCTCGGGGTCCTTCCCCGGGAACCTCCCTGGGCACCTCAGCAGCATCCCCAGCTGTGAACGGTGTCTGTGAGCCTCTGGGCTTTGTCTCCATTTGTGTCATGCATCTGTTAGCAAGATGTGTCCTTAGGTATTAGAGAAGCCTGTTTGGGTCTGGGAACGCTCAAAAAATTTTCCATACAAATGCATTGTAAGTGCTTTTTCACCGTAGGCCATTTGGGCTCATGGAAGGTGTCACAGGAGTGCTCTGCGTTCCCATAGCGGGGGACCTGCATACAAAATGGGATGGTCTTCCCCATCGGTCTGTTCACCGCTTCTGAAAGCAAGCTCTGCTTATTTCTAACCTTCATGACCCTGCTCTGGTGACTCCATCTCCTTCCCATCCACCGAGATCATGACAAATCCTCAAGGGTCTTCTCAGGCTCAGAACGCTCGGCAGGTTATCGTCCAGTTTCTAGCTTTCTGACACACCTCAGGCTCGCCCTGCTCTGAAGCCCTGCAGCACCACTCTGGGACACCCTACAGTTCTTTGTAGGTTTAATTTCTTGGATAAAAATCACAATAGACATTAATCTTACACACTGGTATAGCTTTTTCATGGTTTTGAAAGCACCTTCATATACATGAACTGATTTTAATCCATATAGCAACCTTTAAATGATTTATAACCTTATTTTATTCTTGAGGAAATTAAAAAGATTTGCTTAAAATCATATAGGTGATAGGTATTTGGACTCAAAAAAGCATTTTTTTTTCTCATTATATTAAGGGACTTATAATTTTGAGACTATAAATCATGTTCTTTATTTTCTGTATCTCCTTCAATACCTACACAGTCCTTTATCTGGGCTATGGATATAATAAGAAACTCAGCACATGCTTTTTGCAAATGCATTAAATTAACAGTGCAAAGCAATCATGACAGAAGTAGATCTGGAAAACATTCCATAAAGGTTCTGACTTGCAGTAGAAATGGTAGCATTTCTACAACTGGTATTACTTAAGCCAGCCAGCCAGCCAGGCAGCTTGGGGATTGCCCCCGCTGTATCATGTAACTCATCTGTCTCTATCAAGACTTGTAACTTAGGAGAAGCACCAACTTCAAAGGAAGGTTCGTCCTCCATCAACCACGGAAACCTAAGAGTGGTCTGTTATTTCAGTGCCATATGTCGTCCTCTGCAATCACCAAAACTAAGGCACTTGGAACAAAATACCTCTTGTCCATCCCAAAATGATTTATGAAAAGTGTAAGCATTTTGTATCAAAGTCTACATTACATTGTGGGAGGTTTTTTTTACGTAAAATAAACTAGACCAAAGCAAGGTATTTTAAGAACTGCATCTCTAGTACTCCTTATTAATTGACTATCCCATTACTCAAGGACAGAGGCACAAAATAGGTATCTTTTAAAAAATGACAAAAATTTTTAACATGGTTAGAAATACAATCCTATCAATTAGACTCTTAGGGAATTTTATTTCTTGGGAACATGATTTCCAAGAATATAGTTTATTACAGATATGTATTCTTGTCTACAGAGAAAAGAATGGCTTCAGTGGAAGACTGTCCCACTGGAGCTGAGCTGCAGGGCATCTAGCACAGTGCTCTGATGAGGACCACGGCCACCATCTCAACCTACACAGCTCCTCCTCTGTGCCAGGCCCTGTTTGAATAAAGTGCTTTAATTATCCAGTTATCACCTCCTATAATCCTCATGACATATTTCTCATAACCAGGGAGGTAGTATTATCATCCCCCTTTTACAGATGGAAATACTGAGACACTGACAAATAGGTCACAGAGCCAGAATTTGGATGCTGGCCAGGTCAACCACCGTGTTCCCACAGCACTGTCTCTTAATAATCTACTGCTGCTTTTCTAGGGACCTTTGCTCTAGACAATACAAAACGTCAGCGTACTGGTTTTTCATGGCTTCACTACACTAACATTTTATTTTTTATTTATTTTTAAATTTTTTATTGTTATGTTAATCACCATACATCATTAGTTTTTGATGTTACACTAACATTTTAAAAACTCCTTTTTTTCAAATGAACTCTTGGGCTGAACCTTAATATATTAATGACATATGAAAGCCGGGTTTCTCTAATTGAGGTCTGAAGTGGAATGCCACCTGGTTCAAATCTCCCATCTAAAAGATGAAGGAAAAATGGAATTCAGGAAATTACAACAATAGCCACAATACTTTTAGCAGGCCATTTTGTCTTATTTATTCTGCAATCACCTCATTTTATGTTAGTCTACCCACTTCATAAATCCTTTTTGGCTTATAAAACTTAACTAACTTGGTTCTAGTTATACACTGGTCAGCAGAAAGGCCAGAGCGTTGGGACACGAACGAGCTTACTTGAGGCCTCCTGCTTCACCTCTCAGCTCTGCTGAGCCGAACGACTCTTCTAGAGTAAGTAAGGCTTTTGCCATATTCTGACCAGACTCCTTCAATATCCTTCTCCACAAAAGCACAGCGAAGCTGCCGCAAGCGATGAATATAGAAAGGCACAGGGAGGGGGAAGATATCGAGCCAAAGAGTTACTCTCTATCATAGCCATCTACATATGATAACTGGAAATCTTTATCTTCATTTGTCTGTAAGGAGATGCAGTAGAAATCAGTTGTTCCTGCTCTTAGAGTGTTTTATGTATTTTAAAAGTGAATTACCTATTTTCTGTTCTGTTGCAGTTTTTGCTTCTTCTACAAACCCACGGGCAACAGGATATAAAAGGGCATAAACTTGAGTGTCTGTGCTTTCCACATCTAAAGCTGTTCATGCTGGAACTCCTCCGGCTCTGCCTCGGCCTCTCCACCCCACAGGATACTACCCGTGACCTGGGGCTGCCAACTGGAGGTAAAGGCAGCAGGAGGAGGGTCCTCACCCTCAGGCCTCTACCACACTTTTATGCATTTAATGCAGATGTGCCTGATGTTTGGGGTATTCACAAAACTTCAAAATATAATGCAGTCACCCTGTTAAGACACAAATCAGTAGGATTTAAAAGGCTTCTAGCTTCCTTCAGCTCCCATTTTGCTTTAATATGCTTTTATATTCTGTACTCCAAGATGATGTTTTTATATTGGGGCAAAGTTTCAGCATCAGCTGAGTTGTTCTTTTTTTTTTTTTTTAAGATTTTTTTATTTTTTATTTGACAGCGAGAGTGAGAGAGCACAAGCAGGGGGAGCAGCAGAGGAAGAGGGAGAAGCAGGCTCGGGGGAGCAGCAGAGGGAGAGGGAGAAGTGGGCTCCTTGCTGGGGCTTGATCCCAGGACCCCAGGATCATGACCTGAGCCGAAGGCAGACACCCAACCGTCTGAGCCACCCAGGCGCCCTCAGCTCAGCTGTTCTTGCCACAACTTTTTAATATTTCTGATTCTTGACTTTGCAGGGGCAATTAAAAGTTTTGATTTAAAAAGCTAGACAAGGGACGCCTGGGTGGCTCAGTCGGTTAAGTGTCTGCCTTCTGTTCAGGTCATGATCCCGGGGTCCTGGGATCAAGTCCCGCATTGGGCTCCTTGCTCAGTGGGGGAGGCTGCTTCTCCCTCTGCCTGTCACTCCCCCTGCTTGTGCTCTCTCTGACAAATAAATAAAAACTTTAAATAAATAAATAAAAAGGGCTTAAAGCTAAGGTGATAATGTCAGTAAGAAATGAGCATAATCAGGGGCGCCTGGGTGGCTCAGTCGTTAAGCGTCTGCCTTCGGCTCAGGTCATGATCCCGGGGTCCTGGGATCGAGCCCTGCATCGCACTCCCTGCTCGGAGAAATTATTAGAAATTATTGAAGTAAAATAATTTGAAAAATATAGAAAGTAAACTGATACTTTCTATTTATCACTGGCATACCTAATGACAGGCCTGAAGATGCCGCTGTGCTGGCAGTCGGCTGTGAGCACGTGGTACCACCGTGCGCACACCCTGGGAGACACAGCTCAGATAATCCCACCGGCTGGCCTTTCGTGTGTGCTTCTACAAGTAACTTACCAAAGAAATTACTATGGACAGCATATTCTGGCTCTTTAAAAAATCTTTACCATAAATGTGGCGTTCTTAGCATTTAAATGAGAGAATGAGAAAAACGATTACAAATTTACCATTAGAATTTTTGTGGAGGTCCACCTTTATTTAACTATGTTTGTATAGAGCTTTCGTTTACAAATTGTTTTCACATGCTTCATTCACCAACATATCCTTGCTAAATTCCAGTTCCCATTAAAGGACTAGAAAATACCAGGCAATAGTCAGAAAAAGGAATAAAACATACAGAATGCACACTCGGTTCCCTTTGTACTACACACACACGCACAGGCACACAGCAGGACTGTACATATATGACTATACAATGTGCCATCTGGTCATTGAGCTTCACTGTACTTGAGTCTTATCAATAAAAAACAAAATCACCTAAGGTAAGAAAGAATTCTAATAAGAACAATATTGTTTTGCTAAAACAAGAGACATAAAAGTAAAGACGTTGAGCTAATTAGTAATTCCCATGGAACTACAGAATGAAGATCAAATCCATCATTTTTACAAGAATAAAACTCTTCAGTTGGACGTATTTACCACACCCGTCTCTGATTTTTATCTTAACCTAACTTGTACAATGAAGAGTGGATAATTATAAAAACAGATTATAAATATCTTACCATACACTCCTTTGTCTAAAAGTAGTAAAAATTCATCCACAGCATTTCGCATCTCATATTCAGTAAGATCCAACAGTGAAACAACTTTGAAATCTAGTTGTCTTAACAAATTGGTCAATTCATACACATCCACCAAAGGAGCTTTAAGCTTGGGGTGCTCCCAGTAATTCATATTTCCTATCAAAAGAGCAACCTTGTCCTTTGCTGTTAAAAAAAAAAAAAGAGGGGGGATTTAGAGGAGGATATAAAGATTAAAATAAAACCTATGGAAGTGGTGTAATTATAATAAGACATATGCTTTACAAATAAGATCTCATTATTTAATTTCATTTTAGAACTATCACTTTATATAGACCACTTCATACAGTATACTCTCCTGAGGAACACAGGTTGGTAACTGATGAAATGAAACTTACTGATGCTTTTGAGAACCAGGCAAAGGATATTTATGAGCAGCATATGAAGCGTAATGGTAACAAATATTAATACTTTTATTCAGTAAAGAAATTAATAAAGAATATTCAACTAGACTTTTAGAGCAAATGTAAAAAAGCAATGTTAGTAAATTGGGTTCCCATCAAATTAGGTTCTGTTTTGCTGACAGTGGAAAGAGGCTAAAAACAAAAGAAATACCAAAAAGAGGAACAGGACGAATTCTCATCAGAGCAAGTAAGGGGAAAACCAGAGGACAGAAAAGCAGGGACTTAACAAGAACTCTATCTGTATTTTTTCAGTTGATGTACTGTCTCCTTTCGGCTTCCTTAAAAAAAAAAATCCTGTTTGGGTGACCTTAGGGATATGTGAAGACCTTTTGTATGAATATCTTTTTTTTTTTTTAAAGATTTTATTTATTTATTTGAGACAGAGAGAATGAGAGAGAGAGAGAGAGCGCACATGAGAGGGGGTAGGGTCAGAGGGAGAAGCAGACTCCCGATGCGGGACTCGATCCAGGGACTCCAGGATCATGACCTGAGCTGAAGGCAGTTGCTTAACCAACTGAGCCACCCAGGCGCCCTTGTATGAATATCTTAACAGTTTATTTTCTGACCTTAGTGCAGAGAATTTGCTCAAAGATGTAGTCTCGTATGAGGAATTTCTGTTTTTAAGGGGCAAACAGACCCACACCTATGCCTTAGAAAGTACCAGCTAGCTTTACCACATGTAGAGCTTGTCCTGAAGTGGCTGTACAAGGCTGATCTGGGGTGCAGTTAGTGAACGAAGGTCGGAGACGGGAGGAACCTGTGAGGACCGGCAGTGGGGACATGCAGCACAGGTTCTGGTCCAAACCGTGCCGGAGGCGCCAGGGAGCAGCAAAGGTGTAACCAGGGCACCTGGCAGAGCCCAGCCAACTGCCTGAGGAGCCGCACGGGGCAGGAGTGGGAGCCGCCAACTGACACAGGTCAGGACTAGGTAACCATCCTCTGTCACTAAACGCTGCTCAGTAGTTTCTTTATAAATTATGAATACTACTCTCCTGAGATTGAAACAGGCACAAATAATCCCATCGCTGACTTGATGTCTGCAATATGGGGTAGAATTTCAGATGTTTCAAATCATTAAATTGATGAAAACTCTTTGGTAAAATGTTTTTTCTGACCACAGAACATTTAGGTCTAGTGTTAAGCCAGGTCTGGAGAAAAACCAGTGCCAACTCTAGAACGGGGCTCTCTCAGAGTGAAAGAAAACCCCACTTTGTGAAAAGCCTCAATGCTTCTGTCATGACATCTTTATTCTACATTCACAGTCTTAGAGGCTTCTTGCAAGTTGCCTATTCCTATGAGTATATGTATTTTATTTTATTTTATTTTTTAAGATTTTATTTATTCATTTTGAGAGAGAGAGAATGAGAGAGAGAGAGAGCAAGAGAGGGGAAGGGTCAGAGGGAGAAACAGACTCCCCGCTGAGCAGGGAGCCCGATGTGGGACTCGATGCCGGGACTCCAGGATCATGACCTGAGCTGAAGGCAGTTGGTTAACAAACTGAGCCACCCAGGCACCCGAGTATATGTATTTTAGAAAAAAATGAAATGATACTTAAATTAGAAAATTCAGTAAAAGTCACTTTAAGGCCTACATAAATAATTTTTTATTCAAAAGAAAAGGTCAATTATCAAGACTACTTAAAACACAAAGATTCAGACATAAAGTTTCTACTGAACTGCCCTTCATTCTAAAAATCATTGAAAAAGTTGAGGACACTCAGGATAGAATTCAATAGGAGGCAGTATAAAACTTAACGTTACTTTTTTTTGTTTTTGTTTTAATTTCTTCTTAAATAAACTAGATCCGTGCTCTTACATCAAAGCACCCACTGTCTGGCAAAACTGTTAGCTGACTAATCCACAGAAAGAAAATTCTCAGTGCATTTTTTTTTTTTAAAGATTTTATTTATTTTTTTGGGGGAGAGAATGAGAGACAGAGAGAGAGCTCATGAGAGGCGGGAGGGTCAGAGGGAGAAGCAGGCTCCCTGCGGGGCAGGGAGCCCGATGCGGGACTCGATCCCAGGACCCCAGGATCATGACCTGAGCCGAAGGCAG